CCTTATATGCGTGAAATTAGGGTAGTTTCTAGCCTTCACAGCAGTTGTCCCTGAAACATTACCGACCTAAATTCAGAGAGGCAAGATTTAATGATTTTTCTCGAAGATTAGCTGTTGTGGCTAAAAATTTGCGTAAGTAATGTAATTACGGTGGTAATTCACGGTTCAAAGGCTTGTATTATGCAATTATCACTATGCATACAGTCCAGCCTTTGCCTTGGTGAAAGCAAAGAGAAATTTTGTTTTCCTTCCTTGGTGAGGTAGGTTTACGTAACCTTGGTGCGATCCATTTTCTGAGTTTTCGGCTTCAAACTTCACTCGAACGAAGTTGGTCCAAACCTATAACCTATCCATCTATATAAAGGAATTTGACCTAGTTTGGTGCAAGACTTTTGTTTCAACCTTATGATTATCTCGTCTTATTTATGCTTATCTGTATTCACCCTTGATTCAGCTGAACTTGAATGTTTCAGGTTCTTGTATCTGGTGGGGTCGATTCTACCGTATGCGCAGCGCTCCTGAATCGAGCTCTAGGACCGCAGCATGTCACTGCCATACATATAGATAATGGTTTTATGAGAAAAGACGAAAGCGACTATGTGATTAAAAGCCTCAAAGCAATTGATCTCCCTGTTCATAGTCAGTAACATGATTTGTATTTTTTCGCTGACAAAATTTCTATTTATCGAAAGTTTAGGAGAATATGCTGGTTTGACATTTATGGTGGGTACTGTTTCTGGTAAGAGTGGTGATGCTGATACGCTGGACAGAACTGTAGATCCAGAGACAAAGCGACATATTATTGGAAATACGTTCATCCGGGTTAAAGATCGAGTTATGGAGGAGGTGCGTTTTGTCAGAAGTGAGATAGATTTTAGATCTTTTGTTTTTAGTTAAAGTTGAAAAAGGAGGACTACTTTCTTGCTCAAGGCACTCTTAGACCGGATTTGATAGAGAGCGCCAGCGAACTTGCAAGCGCACATGCAGATACGATCAAAACTCATCATAATGATACTATTCTTGTTAGAGAGCTTCGATCTTTGGTGAGTTCATGTGCTCGTTCAGATTTTATTTGAGGTTCTTGCTCTGCATCTCGTTAGATAAATTTTTTTGCAGTGCTTTTGAATGGGAAGCATTATAAGTGTGTTTCACTCAAATAAAATTTTAGGGTCGTGTGATTGAACCTCTGAAAGATTTCCACAAGGATGAAGTTCGTGAACTTGGCCGAACTCTCGGACTTCCCGATGACATTGTCAATAGGCAGCCATTTCCGGGGCCTGGTCTGGCTATTCGAATAATATGTGCACAGGTCAGCCTTCTCATACATAAAAATTCGGCTTATGTTTTGTTAGTTAAGAGAATTCATCTGGATTTGTTTTGGTAAAACTGCCAACTGAGCAAAGTTGTAATTTTCTTAGCTGCTCAACAGCGAGTCGGGTAGCAACCATTGCTTTTAAGTTGCATTTCGTAAACGGGGCAAAGTTTGCTGAGGGGCTCGGAGCTGTGTTTTGGGTGTAGGGACATATTATCAAAGACTTTCTCATCATTCAGTTTGAAGCAGCTAGAACAATTTCCATAATTGTAGGTGTTCAGCGACATACGCGAGAAATGTGATAAGCTTCGCGCTTGAATCTATAAGATTTGGGGCGGGCCTACCTCTTATCATCATCCTGTTTTCAGAAGCCACATATCTGTAATGACTTTGCTACAACACATCAGTGCTTGAATGTGCTCACAAATCTGTCACGTCAGCCTGCTACACCTGCAGAGAACGAGTTCAGGGAAAAAGTGAGGAGATATTCATATGAGATAAGCTGTGCTAGAAGCAGTTATTCTTTTAGATGTTAGAGGCTATGACGGGATGGGAGATCACAGAGCTCATGTCTCAATCTTTCACGATGAGTGCCACATTGCTTCCAATTAAAAGCGTTGGAGTGCAAGGGGATCGCCGGTAAGCAAGCTTATTTGTATCGTGTCTTGGCATTGCATGTCCTTTTTCTAGTTCCTACGCATACGTAGCTGCATTATCTTGTGATGAAAGTCCAGTCCCTTGGCAACTGCTTTCGCGGTACGCAAACATCATTCCAAAAGTTCTGCACAATATCAACAGGCAAGTTTTTTT